TGGGCTGGATCACCCCTAGATAGGAAATCTACTACTGGGTATTGTGTGTTTGTTGGTGGTAACCTTGTCTCTTGGAAGAGTAAAAAGCAGACGGTAGTGGCGCGATCGAGTGCAGAGTCGGAATACAGGGCAATGGCGCATACCAGTTGTGAGTTAACATGGTTGAAACATTTGTTGGAAGAACTTGGATTTGAACACACTTCACCGATGGACCTGGTATGTGATAATCAAGCAGCACTTCACATTGCTTCCAACCCAGTCTTCCATGAGAGAACGAAGCACATTGAAGTTGACTGTCACTTTATTCGAGAAAAATTGCTGCAAAAGCAAATTGAGACTAAATATGTGAACTCAGTTGATCAGTTAGCTGATATATTTACTAAACCGTTGAGGGGCTCAAGGATAAAGTACATTTGTAACAAGCTTGGAGCATACAATATATATGCTCCAACTTGAGGGAGAGTGTTAAAGGGTATTTAAGTCTTTTATGTAATACCTAAGGTTTCCTAAGTTTTTTATTATAAATAGTTTGAGAGGCTAACACAATAGGGAAGCCTTCTTACTCTTTTACTCCAACATTATCAATCGATATCAAACAATCAATTAAAACTCCGACCCACAACTTGTGTTCACTTATGGTTGCTTTCTTCATTTCTCACCCACAAAGGGACAAGGTTATGTGGTGATTTGCAAGCCACGAAGGCAAAGAGAAACAACAGAGGCAAAAAGACACAAAGAAGAAGAAGATGGGAAGCAATTTTCTCTTCACAACACAAAGCACACACACGTTTCCAACACTATGATAATGAGCATATATAGGTTAGGTTATATCATCAATTGGGCCAAGACACAAGAATGTCATCCTATAAGTGAATTTGGGCCAAGGCAACATTAACAAATTAAGTTGCTACTAGTAGCTCACGTTGCTTTCGGGTCTAGCATATAAATTGATTGTATTGATAATTATTTCACTCATCAGCCAAGGCTTTATGAAATATATTCTAAACTGTTTAACATCGTTACCCGAGATTTATTGGGTATCAAAACCCAACAGTAAGTTCTATAAACAAATTTGTAAGATTCTTAAGATAATCCTCGAATTGTTAATTGGTTATGCTCTGAATGCTGTTGTCACCCAACTGAAATGGAAAAACTTACCAATTCAGTTTAATTTACTCTCAGAAATTAGAATTTGCTGCTTTTGCAGTGAAAACCATAAAGAACAAGTATATTAGTAATCTACATTTTTAGCGTTTATCATTACCATCTAATCTACGAAATATGTTGCAATGCTCACCGGTGGTATTTTTTCCTCTTGGATGCATTCATGATGTCCTTATAGTGACAAGGCACTCCATGGTGTTTCTGCCTATTACTCAGTATCAACATTTTTCTTTACTTGGCATATTTGGCTATGTACCCACAGAACTCACAACCTGTATGGATTTTCGGGTTCTCCACATAATAATTGTAGATTTGTTTTTGGTTTAGGGCAATTCTGAAATCAAATTGTTACCACAAGGAAGGACACAACGCTCCATGTGAATATGGTCAAAATATGTTTATGTTGCTATTTGGAGTTGTACAGGTACTATTCTCTCAGATACCTGACTTCCACGACATGGAGCTGCTCTCAATAGTTGCAGCAATCATGTCCTTTGCTTATACCTTCATTGGACTCGCACTCGGTTTTGCAAAAGTAGTAGGTAACCTTAATTCGACATTTCTGTCTTTGGGTTCACTCTGTGATCATAATTTGATATCTTACATATTGATATAATTAACTTTAGTGGGAAAAAAAAATGCAAATCTGAGTTCTATATGCTCACCGTGGAAATCAGTATGACAAAGTACTTCATACGATGTTCTTGGATCAATATACATTTACTCCTATAATTAGCATTTCGAGATGAAAAATGCAGAAAATGGAGAAATCAAGGGAGATATTACTGGAGTATCTACAGCAACAACGGTTCAGAAAGTATGGCTCTCCTCACAAGCAATTGGAGATATTGCTTTTGCTTTCACCTACAACGTAATTCTTCTGGACATACAGGTGAGAAAATAGTACTTGATACATATATGACATGCTCTGATATCTATCTTCTGTTCTTGATTTTGCAATAAAAAAACTTGAGCAAATTAATGAAAAATGAACGTGCAAATGTAGGATACTCTAAAGGCACCGCCACCAGAGAACAAGACAATGAAGAAGGCATCAGCTACAGCTATACTTATTACCACAATCTTCTTTCTCTGCTGTGGATGTTTCGGATATGCTGCTTTTGGCAGCCAGGCACCTGGAAATCTATTGACGGGCTTTGGATTTTATGAGCCCTACTGGCTTGTGGACTTTGCCAATGCTTGCATAGTTCTTCATCTTGTGGGAGGATATCAGGTACTACGCCCTATTCACGAGATTGTGCAAGCATCTCCTTCTTTTAGGCTATGCATAGTTGTAGGGCTCGTTTGGCCGGGTTTTTGAGGAGTTAAAAGATGCTTTTAAGAATAAGAAGCCCCCTTAAGTCCTATTTGGATAATTTAAAAGAGGTTTTAGAGGAAGATGTCCAAGATGGCTTCCTTAGGAAGCTCTTCTACAAAGAGCGGAAGTAAAAATCTTGCCAAACTGGCCTGCAGTGTTTCGAAAACAGTAGCGAAGATATTATGTTTTCTTACAATGTTTTTGAATCAGAAATGATTAGTATGCACGATGGTTGTATTAATCCCAAAAGTTTGGTCTTTCTTGTATCGCCAACTTTTACTTTAGTTAAATCTTTACAGCAGAAGTACTAAATAAGTTAATAGGTTATTGTTTTCTACTTTCACCTTAGATTATGATTTCTGTTGCATATGTTTTTGCTTTTGCAGATCTACAGTCAGCCATTATTTGCAGTAGCTGAGAGATGGATTTCAAATAAGCATCCAGATAGTGAATTCGTAAATAAAGAACGCAGAATTAAGCTCCCACTACTGCCGGATTTCAAGTTGAATCTTCTTCGACTGTGCTTCAGAACTGCTTATGTTGCGTCTACAACAGGGCTGGCTATTCTTTTTCCTTACTTCAACCAAGTTTTAGGAGTTCTTGGTGCTTTAAATTTCTGGCCTTTGGCTATATATTTTCCAGTCGAGATGTACCTTGCACAGAACAACGTTCGAGCTTGGACAGGAACGTGGACACTTCTTCAAGCTTTCAAAATATTTTGCTTGCTATGCACTATTTTGGCTTTAGTCGGCTCACTCGAGGGACTCATCAGCAACAAACTAAGCTAGAAATTATTGATATGCTGAATGCTTTTGCGAGACGGAAAATATTAAGTCCGTGTTCTCTAAGGAGTATTAAATCGTTCTCAATAGTAGAATTGACGAAATTTTAGTTTTTTTTTTTTTTTTTTTATTATTTAACATTGTAAACTACTTTGCCAAATAAGTCATAAGTGGATTAGTAGACCAAATAAATGATGCATGATAAGAATAAATATGTGATGTCATAATAATATGAATTAATTTAGGTAATTCAAAGTCTTGACGTGTGTTTTAATTAATTTTACTAATGTTTCATAGATGCTCATTAGTTTAGTTAGATAATTATTTATAAAATTATAATTCATAAATTGGCTATTGATTGGAGGTAGTAGTAATTAAAACTATATTAATTCGCTACTTTATTACTTGACTACGATACCTTATATTTGCAAGATTTTAACGATTAATGACCACTAAGAATTTGTCATTTGCAAGGTCAAACAGAGAATTTTTTAACCATGTTTGGTAGAGATTAAAATTCATTCTTTAGTAAATTTTGATAAAAATTGATAAAATATGTGATTTAAAAATTGTGTCCAATTAAACATATAATTAAAATTAATTGTTCACTTTACTTAGATTAAAATGTTAGTCTAAAGTTGAAATAGAGGATATCTTTGAAACTTCCATTAATTTATAATATAGACGAATGCACGGTGAAATTGTTCCAATAAATCCCGACTTATTGTCCAAGTGTCGCAAGTTGGGCACCATTTTTATTAGAAATGAATGAGTTGGTCTTCAATCCTTGATTGGAGAGTCAAACACCAAAAAGTATACTAACATGTACTTGAACATGTCTTATTTTACAATTAAGCTGTACATCCTTGATTGATATCAATTATGACATTCCCTCTAGGTGAAAAGGATCTGAACAATGATTCGATGTATGTGTTTCAAATCAATAGTATGAATTGCTGTCAAATGGAAGAATGTCAAATGTGTTGTCAACCACAATGTACATGTAGCATGACTGCTTATTTTATTAAAAAAATGAGTAAAAGTATTTAATATCTATAAAATATTTCTAAAGAGTAAATAGGTAAAAAATGAAAACAAAATCTACATGTACACTCTTTGCCCTACAAAGTCTACCCGATGCATTGAATATCACTATTTTCACCCTCAATTCCCTTTTCAAATGCACTACCCAATAGAAATTAGGTGATCATTTCCACTAACTATTATCAAATAAGATGGTTGTCTAGATGCCACGAGCACGTAATGGATGTCTCTAAAGATTACTTAGCTTAGGATTTAGCTTGTACCTCATCTTTCTCACCTCATCGAGTGACAAATATGTTCCCATTCTTTTCGTTCCTTCTTAATATCGTGTGCTTTTTGTATTCTGTTAATACCAACATTACCACTTGTGTTGACTATAACAACGAAAGCGCTAAAAATAAATTAAGTGCATTATAGTTAACAACTCCTTATTGGCCAATCAATTGACTTCTTGCACCACTTTTTCAATGACCACCTTAGTCACTCATGGATCAGCAAATCCGCACATTTGAAGTCTTGTCGAGGAAGGTCCCTGGGTGGTCATAGGAAGAGCAATGCAATTGACCCGAGACCGCATTCGCGGGGCAAAGTCTAAATAATATTATATTTACACATTTTGTAAAACTTACAAATTTACTACTCACTTATTCATATATTACGTTGGACTTGGTTTATAATCACTTAAAAGTAATAATACGTTTGATAGTGTTTTTAAGTGTTTATAAACTATGGATAATGTGGAGATAATACATGGATAGTTAGATATGACTTATGAGTCCTACAACATGTTATGTAATAAATATATTTGACCAGCTTAGATTATAATTAAACTTTGCCAAGCATGCACTAAGGATCAATATAGGAAGCACTAAAAAGGGATTTTAAGGATCGCCATGCTTCATCTCAAAGCTTGGGGCAAACCAACTTACTTGGTTTTAAAGGTGGGGACGGATGGTGCAATTTTGGAATAACAGGTGTGCCGTAAGGTTAGGGTAGGACCCACGCCATCTTTTGATATGTCGTCTCGTCACTCAATTGCCACCGCTTGCACCAAAACCAAAACCCTAATCACCAATCCCTCTGTTCACAACGCCAGATTGGCATTTGAATTCCCTCTGTTTCAGAATAATTATATATCATATACATTGGCAGGATTTCTTTCTATAGATGTAGGTAGAGCGGAAGCTTTTGTCCTGAGTTCAAAGACCTTTCTTTATCTTATTCAACTGAATTTATACTTGAGATTAAATGGTCAGTTCTTTTTATGATCTTCTGATTTTGAATTTTTGTGGTTGAATTCTCTGTACTGGAATTTATTTCTTATGAAGTGTATTAATTCGATGAAATTGACTTTACTTGGGATTATTCGTCAGGGCAACCAATAATACTTTTTTGTTTTTTTAATTTTTTTGTTTGTTGATTTTCTTTTGGGGAGAGGTAAAGACTAGTCTTAGCTGTTTGATGTTAGTTTCAGTATTATCGCGGTCTGAAAATCATGAAATTGTTTTATATTTTTATTTATACTTCTTCAATTCATGATAATGTATTTCTTCAAATTCCTTTTTGTGTGCCTTTTCTTTTTACTTTTATGTTTACTGAAGTAAAATGTTACTGCCATTCTGATATCTTCACCTTTTGTGCTAAGTGGCTAACAGGACTACTGAGGTTGTGTATGTAAGATTGCAAATACGTTCATTTAATGTGCATGATTCTGTGTGTTCCTTTTACAGAGTGGTAGAGAAGGAAGAGGCAGGTCTCGTAGGGATTACCCTGCAAAATCTGAAGAGAAATCTCAGCATGGTCGGGGAAACAATCCCCCATCGAGACACCTTTGGGTTGGAAATCTTTCGCACAACTTAACAGAGAATGCTTTGGCGCATCACTTTCTTAAGTTCGGGGATCTCGAGAGTCTTGCATTTCAACCGGGTCGTAGTTATGCTTTCATTAACTATAGAAATGATGAAGATGCTTTTCTCGCAGTAAGAGAGCTCCAAGGTTTTGAACTTGCAGGCAATCCACTTAAGATTGAGTTTGCGAAGGCGGTTAGTTTTGTTGATCTTTGTCTAATTGCCTTTTGGTACCATTTTGATGCCATTTCCTGCATATGTACATTTTTTTATCGTTCTATGGAATCTATTGCAATTCAAGACAGCTTGGTGATACAGAATATTAGAAGCATATACAAAGAAGCAACATCATACCTTCTTCAGTCTAACTCATCCGTCACTTATTTAAGAAAATATAAAAAATCAGTCAATTACATCAGTCTTCCACTCCAAAGGAAAAACCAAAAAAGACAAAGCAAGATACCATGTAATATTTAACTCTTCATCCAATGAACATAAGCCCTCAAAGTGATGTGAAACCCTTCTCAATGTCTTCCACTCACTCAGTGAATCCAGGAGGCAAGGGGAATCCGTTGATTGGATCCATTCCCGATGATGTGCCACTAACAAGGCCTACCTATTCTCCCAATGCAATCCGTCTTTTTAGGGGCATGGCATTCAATTTTATCTCAATAATCCAATTTTTCCACTGCATAATATACTCTCCACTCAATAAGCGTTAGCATTAGTTCTCACTTCCGTTTTGAACAAAATGATTAGATCTGCAAAGATTTCTTAATGCTATACCACAGAATTGTATGGAAGGTCCTAAAAGGCACGCATTGATTTTACATTCATAATACTCTGTTACTTCTCCACTATGGAATGGTGTTGCATGAATAATTTTGAAAGGTACCAAAAGTCATGTCTCATTTTTACCATCTATGAAACAGGCTCTGTTATGTTTGCAATCTTGAGAAATGAGAGCTTGATACCTGTAAAAATTAAACACTTCGGGAAAGTCACACCCTTGGTTCTACCAGCACGAAACAAGCTCTGTATTTCAATAGAATTTTCGATGAAAGAAATGCTAATGAATTGAACACAACGAATAGTGCTGCCTTCAGCAGCACTATTTCTGAAAGAGGATTGATATGTTTGTCACTAACAAAGATGGGCCACTCATTTAACAGTGAATGTCATTTCACCAGCCATACACAATTGTGAACTTGTATAGAAAAATTCTCATATCTGCATGGATGTAGATATACATTCATGATGGTAGTAAGCGTGAGTTTTGCAAGATTGTTGCTAAAGATTCTGTTACAAGGTAGTAAGAATGGGTTAGAAAAAATCTGAAGTTTCTGCCACTGTAGGAAAGCTTTTAAGAAAAGCTAGAATGAGTACTGTAGTATACATTTTTATCCAAGTATTCCTTTATTCACTAAATACCGTGGTACTGAGAAATGGATAAGGGCATTAGACTACACATTTGTGTATGTTTTAGTGTTAATTCTTTTAAACATTGCTTGGCAGTTATGGTTACAAATGTCATCTTGATCTTCATATGCTCTTAAAGCATGATGACCTTTGTGTGACATAAAATACTTATGTTTATGATCACATGCTAGTGAGATAATATATTAAATTGAAGTTGTTGAGGTATGCAAGTTTGAGTGCTATGTAATGAAAGTGTTTTAGCTGCGCTCCCATTCTTTCCCCCGTTCTCATCTTCCTTTTTGGTTGTATGCATGATAATGTTGATACCTGTTAGCCTAGACGCGAACTTTGTTGAGAGGATGTTTCTTGTCTGTTAGATTGGTTAGAATTCTTTCGACAAGTAAACCCCCACAGATGAAGTACATTACTTGAGAAACTAATCAACTATGCAGTGGCTTTTGCTTCACTAAGGAGAAGAGGGTTAATTTTTGTAATAAACAATTGGCTTCAATAAAACTGACTTGACAGGAAATTTTGATTCTTAATGCATTGTCATGGACGTGTACTTTGCATAATTATTGGAGACTTTTAAGAAGCTCCTACAAATTTGGGTTATGCAAACAAGCATAGTGTGTCACAACAAGTACTCCTATAGGTTATATTGCAAGACGGCCTCGATCAGGATTTCCAAATCAT